ATTAGTATATATATATGTGCCTTGGAATATTCAGATATTGTTCACACTTGCAACGGTTTTTAACACTTCTAATTAGTAATTGATAGGTAGGTCAAATCTCCAAAAAAGAAAAAAAAAAAAAAAGAGGTTATTTCTCTCTTTGAAAGACTTTGTGAAGTGTAAAGAAGTAATTTGGTTGGTTTGCTACTTGCTATTAATAGTGGGACGAGACCTCCATCTCTGCATACTTAGGAAGCTGTTTTACTCCTCATTTCACCTAGATATTGTTTAATTAGTTTATGATTAGCACTTACCTCATTAATTCATGTCACTAGTTGCATGGCCCTGTATTTCAAAGACATTGGTCTTAACCTTTTTCAGGAATTTAACAAAAAATCAAACTCCTTATATACCATATTAAGCAGTAGCAGTTTTGCTGGGAGTCAGCGAGCTCCATTTCTAAGACGTTTCCTTTTGCATGGGAATTTTAATTCCTTCCTTGAGGTAATTTCTGCATACCTATGCCTGTCTTCCAGACGCTCAAAATTTAGCTCCTTTACTTTTCTTACAGGCTGTTTTCTTCTATCAACAGGCAACTGTAAGGGTTGTGTTGAATGTTGTTAGACCACGCCCATCACTTCCTGTTTTAAATCAGCTATGACATTTGATTATATGAAATTTCTGAAGCAGCTTGTCTGATTCTTATTTGAGTTTTGCATGTGATGCTGCTGTTTCCTGTGTTTGTTGCTGGAGGAGGTGCTTTACCAAAACCCCAGCCATAGGTACATGCCTGTTTTGAGCTTTCTGAATCCTCATTAACCATCTCAATCAGTCACTGATTGGTAAGTTATATCCGACTTGAAGATTGAAGCTTGCTGCCTGTTGATCGTTGAGTAACCATCTATTGAAAGTTGGATATATTATTGTGGGTAGCTGGCTCGTGTGGGTGCAGTTTATTCTCTATAATAATATTCTGAGCTTGCTTAGTAATGCGTGCGGTGAGCAAACCCCTTGGCAGGTAAGCCGTGCCCCTAAGAAGGAAGCTGGAGTTTGTCAATGCTACCGCTGCTTGGTTTTGACTGCCTACTCGTCTACGTTATATTGACACATTGGCGATTGGATTCTTTTTCTTTTTATATTTCTTCTGTATAAATGCAATGGATGTAACTATAAAATGCATCAAATTTTCGAAAGATTTATTGGCTGACTCATGGTTTAGTAACGGACATAAACAAGCATTCATGAAATGTCATCTTTAGAAACTAAGTAGTAGTAAGTAGTAACAAGCAAAGAATCAAATTATTATTCTGTAGCCTTTATGTACAATTCGGAAAATCGGGAAGAAATATTAGAACAGAAAGAAGAGAATATCATTGCAGCCTCGACGCCAGAGACCCAAAAAAAAAAAATGTTGTATTTTTATTTAGAGCTCCTCAAATCCTTCCTTGTCTCCCTCTTCCTCTACCCACTGAAACTCTCTCCTTCAAGTTTCCATCTTTGCAAAAAGGCAATTATCATCAGTTACATCAGTTAGCCTCAGAACATTAATGTAATTAACAAATCATACGAGGATATACAACATAAAAGCAAGCAACACATTAATCAGAAAACCCATTCTAGGAAAGTCCTAGAATACTATTGAAGGCAATTTGGCATAAATATATGCCGAATTTTGACAGTATCCGTTACATCCTGCTATCTAAATGGAATCTTTGATATAAAAACGATACTAGCCTTCAAATTAGATGGTCAGGGCATTTAGCCTGGGAATTAATCCAAGAGATGTGAGATAAGATTATGAACTAAAAGATAATTGTTATCCTAAGAGTAATAAAGTACTGAGAATAACAAAATCCATGGAATCAGTTAGTTGAGCAATTATGCTAGATGATTGGAAAGAAAGTAGTATTTTCCTATTTTAAAGGTTTTAAAAGTTAAGAATACGTTCTATTCTATGGAATAAATTTTCATGATTAATATTAAACATGTGAATTGCACACGTGGACTCCATATAAATTGATCGTGAGGAATGTAAAGTTATAGCCCTCCCTCAGCATGTAGACTAATGCACTGTGATGCTTTACAATTTGAAGCAGAAACAAGTGGTTGCACCTGATCATCCGAAAACCACCATTGTTCTGCAATAAATAGTATGTTCTCGTAATCTCGTGGTTTTACTACCTTACCTAAACAGTAGTTACTTCATTGTAGCTAATCATGTCTACCTTGAAGCCGTTGCTCATAAAATGATTATCCATCCATTTCTTTGTACTAGACTGCAACACAAAGACCAACCAACGGGGCATGTGTTCATTAAAGGAAAGCAATTTAAGTTAGAATAAATGCAGTTACGAAAATTCAACAAGCTGACCTTGGTACCGAATTCGGTTTCTGCCAACCAAGCGGGCAACTCTCCCAAGAAGAGACATCTATTCAGAGCCATACAACTGGCTATGACTAAAATCTCTTCAAAACTTGCCGAAGTCATCACAGGTAGTCCCTACAGAAAAACATGAAAGAAGAAAATTCCCTCATAGAGTTATTCGTCAGAAGTTTCAGCTGACAAGCATCGCATAGGGGAAAATGCCCTTTATCACCTGGATAGATAGCCCATGTACTTGGACGATTACCATTAAAGCCTTTCATACGCAAAGTCTGTTGAATATTAGAGGATTTCTATGGAACATGAAGAAACAAACAGCTTCTTGGGATCTTAGCCCCAACACCTAATTTGTTCAAGAACATTCTCTCGGAACATGTTGAACTACTTGTCTAACCCAAAACCAGCTAAATGCAAGAAATTTAGATTGTCATAATTCAAGACATAGAGATTTGAACAGAAAAAAATATATATATAGCAAAGGAATTGTTTGTTTTCTAAAGTATATGACAAAATATGTAAACTAAGTCCAACAGTCTCAGGCACCTTTAAGCTTTTCAATCGCCTTTTGGCATACCCTTTCAGGGGATTTATCAAATATGATGGTTGAGCTTCGCCAGTTAAGCCTATATGGCCGAGTATCCATTCCATCATATAAAAGAACAACCTGCAATTTATAGTGAAAAGTTAATTTTCTTATGCAATGAGGTGACACAACACTATTTAATTCAAAATTAAACTTAGTAAAAACACCTGTTTAAGCCCATCCATGTGGTTTACCGTACGAAGCAGCTTATCATCTATGAACTTGGTTGCAATGCAATAATGTTTCAATCGGTTCTCCAAATTCATCCGAGTGTGAAGTGGAACAAAGCATCCGGCATATGGGTCCACAAAAAGAGGCTCTGCATATATAGACAAATAAAAATGATTATAAGGCTTAGTAGCTACTTTCAGAAACAATGAAGAAGGCAATAGAAAAGACGGAAACATAGAGAATTGGGGTTTTGCTTGCCTCGACGGTGGATCTCGTGAAAGCGAAGAGAAGCAGAATGGGATGCTGATTGGAGTAATGGGTCAATTTCATCGCTGAGTTGAGGTCTGAATAACCATCCATTTCTCTTCTAGTTGTGGGTGTTGGAGGGGAACGGCAGGACCGCAGTAGGTGGGGATGGCGCACGTGCAAGTCTCAGTAAACATTGCATATAGTCTTTTGCCATTTTGGATGGAAGTGATTCACTCACGATTTATCGATTTTCAGTGTGAACGGCAGCGATTTGTAAAACTTTTATTAAATTATCCCATTCAACGGTCACCGTAGAGTATGGAGCGCAAAGCAGGGCCCGGTCCATCTAGTGCATGTCTCTCTCTCCTCCTCCTACTACTTACTACGGTGCTTTTTTCTAAATCAAGGGAAATATATATACATATATATATATATTGTATAAAGAAAAAGGCAAACAGGACAAATAAGGAAGGAAAACCTCAAACCGAAAAGCATAGGCTTTGCGGCAAGGATAGATGTACTTGACTCTCGAGTTACTTAGTGTTGGGAAATGTTTTACTCCGAAGTTCTCCGTAATCAATCACAAATGACAAATCACAGTTAATCTCTGACCAACTCCATTCATAGAATAAATCATAATAGCATAATTTGACATTTCATAAGTCGTTGATTCGAATATAGTAAAATATTAATAATTTATTTATTTATTTATGTATTTATATTATATTATATTTTTTCTATCTTTTTTTGTTATTTTTTTAATCTTAATTTATTGGTCCCTTATTCAAAATAAATAATAAATATAGTTAAATTCTTAAATTCACTGTCACTTTTTTTTTTTTGTTTTTTAACAATTAATATCATTATACAAAATCCAATAAATCAATTATAATGCGCCAATGCCAATGTCAAATATTTTGCAAAAAATATGGAATTTTGTTTTAAAGTAATTGGCTCCAAAAATTAAATGACAAGAATAAAAATAGATTTGAGTTTCTTAATTTTGAATAAAAAATATTAAAATATATTTTTTAAAATTTGTATAAATTTTTAATGAACAAACATTAGAGGACAGGAGGAATATATGAAAATTATATATTATAATTTGTATTAATATAAAAATATAATGTATATTTTTAATTTTATTAAATTTTTTATATAATTTTTATTAAAAATTTAAATTATAATATGTTATTTTTATGTTATTCTTATATTTTAATATTATATCATGTTTTAAATTATTAAATTTGTGCTTAATTTATTGGTTGGACACTAGTCTGCAAGGAATTTAATTAAACTCTACAAACAAAGTGATCATTCAAATACTATATTTAAGTAAGTGAAATTTCATCTAATTATCTTTTATAATTTTCTCACAAAAAAAAAAAAAAAACAATTGAATCACTTTTATTGGCTCAGTATTATATTTCAAGCCAAACTTTCGAGCACAGTTGAATTTAGCTTGTTGTAAATTGCTGGTTTGTTTTAATTCTACCAAGCCTGCAAGGTAAATCTCCAAACCGGACACTTTGACCAAAAAAAAAAAGGGGGCTGAATTAATGAGAGTTAGGTGAAATGTGTTAGGTATAATCGTTGGAGAACAAGATTATACTCAAGAAAGAATCTTCCAATAAATTAAGAAACACCCAACAGAAAAAAATTGAAGACCAAGGATCACAAAAAAAGGCTCCTGGATGGACCAGAAGAGAGTGACCTTCAAGTGAAGTCTCAGCACCAACTCACCCCACCTTCTTATCTTCACAAGAAAACCGGAAAGAAAAAAACTACCAAAAAATGGATTCCAATCTCCAAACTTGTGAAAACCCTGAAACCAAATCAACCGAAGAACAAACCCAAAACCAACTTGAGATTTTCCCTTCTCAATGCCCATTTGCAACTGCTTCTCTTTCTTTCCCTTCCATGCCCACAACTGTACCTACCCATTTCTTAACTCAAACCAAAATCCTATCTTTATTCTCTTCTCAATCACCCAATAAAGTTAAAGTTCCAACCCAAGCTTCCTCTCTTTCCCATGTCTCTCTGTCTTCAACTTCTCCTTCACCTTCCAAACTCTCCTTCAAATCCACCGTTTCCAACAACCCTCTTCAATCCCCTCTCTCTTTAGGCCCGCGCCGCCCTCTCGACCCTTCCAATGGCGCCGCAATTCGTCGAGCTTCCATCGTTTGGTTCCGCAACGATTTACGAGTTCATGACAACGAGTGTCTCAACACTGCCAACAACGAGTCCATGTCGGTTTTGCCAGTTTACTGTTTTGACCCTCGAGATTACGGTAAATCCTCATCTGGGTTCGATAAAACGGGTCCTTACAGAGCCACATTCTTGATAGAATCAGTTTCGGATCTCCGAAAGAATCTGCAAGCACGAGGGTCGGATCTTGTGGTCCGAGTTGGAAAGCCGGAGAGTGTTTTGGTTGAGTTAGCTAAAGCTATTGGGGCTGAAGCAATTTATGCTCATAGAGAAATTTCTCATGATGAGGTTAAGGCTGAGGAAAAGATTGAGGCCGCCATGAAAGAAGAGGGAGTCGAAGTTAAATACTTTTGGGGAAGTACTTTGTTCCATGTTGATGATTTGCCGTTTAAGTTGGAAGATATGCCTTCCAATTATGGTGGATTTAGGGAGAAGGTTAAGGGTTTGGATATAAGGAAAACAATTGAAGCATTGGACCAAATGAAAGGAATACCCTCAAGAGGTGATGTTGAGACTGGAGATATTCCTTCATTGACGGATCTGGGGCTTAACCCCAGTGCCACGATGGCTCAGGTTTGTGATTTAAATTTAACTTCTATGTTTTTCACGAGGTTCAGTAAGTTTACTTGTGCCTTTCCAGAATCCTGGACTTGTGCTGTTTGTTACACAAATTGAGGGGAGATAAATGACTTTACGGTTGCATAGAATGCAATTGTCTTGCTTAGTCTTCAATGTTCTAGAGAAGATTGTTGTCAAAAGTAATTAGTTTTGGTCGTGTTTCGTTTATTTGCTAAGTTTTCCCTAACTATATGTTGATTCTGTTGCATTGCACCAGAATACTAATCTTTTCTTTTATGCCAAATGCTTCTTCATATTTAAGTTAGTATTTACGGCTACTCACATCTGAAGTATGATTTGATTGGATTGTGTAACTTGAATTATCAGTGTCAGCGTGCTCCTTAGTCAGTGCTTACTGGTTAATCTCCAATGTTGAGGCTTGATAAGAAGTTTTGATTTAGATATTTCAGCTAACCTATGCTACTAGATGTAACTCATTTAGAGTGAATTCAATTAGCTATGTTAGCTGTGTCTTTTTCTTTTGATTATGGCTCTTTAAATGCATTGCCAAAGTATTCTTTGTTCTCTCATAGGATGGTAGGCCATCAGTTAGTGCTTCTATGGTTGGAGGGGAGACTGAAGCATTGCAGAGGCTTAAAAAGTTTGCAGCTGAGTGTCAAGCACAGCCACACAAGGGGAGCAAGGATGGTAGTCAGGATAGCATATATGGTGCTAACTTTTCTTGCAAAATTTCTCCATGGCTAGCTATGGGATGCCTATCTCCCCGTTCAATGTTTGATGAGCTAAAGAAAACTACAAATAAGTATGTTGTCAAGTACCCTTGTTTTCATTTTATAAATAATGTCTAAAATTTGAGCTAATTGTGGATATGATCCACGACAGAGTACAATGGAGCAATATTATCCATGTTAAAGATACCATGTAGTTGGAGAAGGCTTGGTTGTTTTATAAACAATTTCAAGCTATCAGATAATTTCTTATGTTGAATACATTTATATGATTGACAGGATCATTTCAGCTGCCTCAAAGAAAAATGACGGTGGTGGTGGCATACCTGATACTGGAATGAACTGGTTGATGTTTGAGTTGTTGTGGAGGGATTTCTTCAGGTAAATATGGCCTTGATTGACCTTAGAAGCAACAATTTTACTTTACCTCCAAAACAATCAAGCTGATATTCATTGCACATAATCCTTTTGTAGATTCATCACCAAGAAATACAGTTCTGCAAGGGTTGGAACCGCTGCTGCCACAGCTTGTACAGGTGCCCTTGCTTAAGCAAAGAATTTGTACTGGTGTTGAGGAGGATAAGTGTTTTGGGGTGATGGTTGCTCTCGATTCTTGATGGATTTTCATTGTTTAGCTGTTAGATGTTGGAATAGGTGGCTCAAAATGCAGTTCTCCTTCTTGAACTCTTGTTCTTGTCGCCCAATAAAATGATTTAATATGGTTAATTTGTCTTAGTCTTGTAAGCGTTAAAACCATTGTGCTAGTTCTGTCCGTTGTTTGATTCACCATCCTGTGAATAACATATCTCATGGTTCCCTCTTAATCATTTGTCCATGCCTTTTAGTTTTGCTTTCAACTCTCAGCTCAAAAGAAAAGGCGAAAATGCTAGTGAGTTTTGAAGGTTAAGGCCCTAGTGCGAAATGTGGTTTCGGAATTAGGAAAACAAGGGTACATAGGTAGAGAAGAATACACTAGTAACATAGGCCCAAAAGCTAGGGCCTCCAAGCTCCGCACACAGTATTAGGCGCCTAACCACCGAAACCAAAATACAGCCTACACAGGTAGGGAAGGATACAAGCAAAGAGAAGACGAGAGCGAAGAGGATTGTTTGGGCTTGAATTGATTTACCTGAGAGAAAGTGAAATGGGAAACTGAATGATTATAGGAGGAAAGGGAGAGCGTGGAAATCAGGTGAAACGCCATGGAATCGCATACGAATGTAGATGGAGACCGGAGTTTGAGTGGGTCCAGTGGTAGACTGAGCACTGCCTCCTATGAGGGTGTTCCAGATGAAGGATTCAAGGGTCAGCCGGTCATGCGAGCAAAATGAAAGGTTGCATAGCAGAAGCTAACGTTGATTGTTTGATAGATCAGAATGGCGGGAAGTTTTGCCTCTTAAAACAAAAACAAAAGGATGTAGCCTAAAACGTTTTGATGCTGATTTCAAAAACAAAATTAGTATTCATACAAGCTTACTTCTCTAACGATTTGGTACAATTCCATTTAACAAGATTAAAAGGAAAAAAAAAAAAAAACCAAAACAAGTCGAAGGATTTGACACCCGAAAGAGAAAAACAAGGTTCCTCGGAAGCAATAAACTAGATAGGTAACAAGTGAAAAAAACTGAACTGATTCTTCACTCTTCCTCTTCCCCCTCATTCTCAGCGATATTGAAGTAGCGAAGTTCATAAACAGTACGGTCCTTGTTGGAAGCAATCACCCGAAGCCAATCCCGAACATTGTGCTTCTTCAAGTACTTCTTAGTCAAGTACTTAAGATACCTGACAACCAAACAGGAAGTTGAACAAACCATCAAGTAAAACTAAACTCAAATGTTATAATCAAAACATGCTTCTTTCCCCTTTAAAACAAACAACCAAAAACTAGATATAAGGTTTCAGACATCCAAGGAAGGATTAAAGCAGCAGAAGCTCCAAAGCCAGGCGAAGGCGAAAGCTCTCAGGCGGCCGCCGCGAATGTTTTGAGAAACAAGATCATTGACCTAAACCATAAAATTAAAAGAGTTCCACCATCCTCGCTTAAGATTCAAACCATTTTTAAGATCTAAAAATTCAGAGATGCGGCGCAGCGGAGATTGTTCTATAATACAATTAAAAGATCGAAAGAGAAATGAAAAGTACCGCTTGGAGAAGTTGGAGTCAGAGGAGACGTTGATCTTGGTCTTGTCACGGGTGACAGTGACGGAGTCGCCAAGAGCACCGGCTTTGCCACCGACCTTGATCCTTTCCTGGAGGAACTTTTCCAATGAGGCGATGTCCATGATCTTATCTTCAACCGGCTTAGCACAGTCGATGGTAAAGGACGCTCCCTTCTTCTTCCCCTTGGGTCCCGCTGCTGCCCCACGACTCATCTTCGCACCAACTCACAGCGTTTTCACTAAGTCGATTCAATCAAAAAGAAGGGAAAGAAAAAAAACAGAGAGAAAGGCAGGGATAGAGAGAGTAACTTAACTGCCGGCGGCCGCAGCGTTCTTTAAAGATACAAAACGATGAAGTTAACGAGAAATATATTGGATTGGATTCTAGGGTTTTTTTGGGTCATGTATGGGTGCCACGTTGCTCCCGTTAGGTTTTGGGCTGAAAATCACCAAAAAAAAAGTTAGTATAAAAAAATTTAAATTACAATTAAATAATAATCTAAATTCATATTACTTTATTATAATCCATTAAATTTAATTAATTAAGTGTAAACAAATATTTTAAAAAATTAATTAAATAAAATAACTATTTAAAGATTCAATTGAACAAAAATAAATGTTTAAATACTTAATTAATTAATTCTAATACAGTAAAATAAGCTTAAATAATTATTTAATTTTAATTTAAAAATCTTTTATATATTTAACCCAAAAGAAAATGCAAAAAAAAAAAGAAGGATTATTGCCATGATCCATCCCGGAATCACCCTTTAGCCTAATTTGTCTTGTACATACTTAGATTTATAAACTTTTGGAGAAGCAATTTCAACTCTAAAGATTAAAAAATAACTTTTTTTAAGACAAATTTTACCCATTTTCCTCATTAAATTTGTTTATTTTAACATGCATTTTAATCTATTTATGATTATAGTGAATGTGATGCTCCAGGGACTAGTAAAAAAATTAAGCATTATATTAATTTATTCATTTAATTTTCAATTTACTTAAATATTTATGAAAATTTTTATAATTTAAAATAATTATAAAAATAATTAATATAAAATTTTATCAATTTTTATTTTTAGAACTTAAAAAAATAAACATATATGAAAACATGTTTTTAAATGATTTTTTAAATTTATTTAATAAATTTTAACACGATAGTAATGATTCAGTAATCAACTAGTTTGAGAGCGAAATGTGAATTTAAGATTTTGTAAAGTACATCAAACTAAACGTTTCTAAATTAAGATGAGTTATCAGATTTATCTTTTTTTTTTTTTTAGATTTTGTTAAAGGTTCGATGTGATTCGATTATATTCAAACACATTCGATATTATTTTTAAATTATTTTATTTAATATTTTAATAATAATTTTAATTTAAATGATAAAATATATTATTGAGATTTGAAATTTCATGTAAAAATCCAATTCAAAAATAGTTTTTTTTTTAATAAAAAATGTGAGTCAATTATTTAAAACAAAAGAAAAAACAAAGAAACCCAAAGAGTTGTCCTAAGAAAAGAAAAACATTTGAGCTGCCGTCATTTAATAAAACAGAAAAACTTCAAAATAAAAGTAACAGAAAAACTTAGGAATTTGTAAATGGAGGAAGAGCTAACCAGCGTCGTTCCATGTTCTTCCATCGTCGTTGAATCGGTCCTTCGTGTCGGAACGGTAAATACATCACTTAACTTTTTGTTTTCTTTCATTATCAAACCAAAAAAATAAAAATCTATTTTCAGGCAGGTGCACTCTGGGGATTTTGTTCAGCCCCATATGATGCTCGTAAAAAAGGTTACAATCTTAAAATCTCAATCAATTTTTTATTATTTGAAATATTAATTTTTCATTATTTTTGTTAACTAAAGGTTGAAGTTTGGGCTAATAAGGTTAATCTTTTTTTTTGGGTTGTTCTGGTGTTCAGGTCTAACCGGCATTAGTCAAGCCTCATTTGTGGTAAAAGAAGCTTACAAATTTTGGTTAATGAATTTTGGGCATTTTTAGTATTTGATTTTGACCAGTTATTGGTTGTTTTTCTAAAATTTGATTGTTTTATCTTCTTGCAGGCAAAATCTGTTGGCAAATTCGGCTTCCAATGCGGTAAGAATTAAGTTGATTTTGGGCGAATATTTTGCATCTAAGATCAAACTGAATGATTGCCAAAAAAAAAAAGTGATTTTATTTTTAGGGTGTCTTTCAAACTTATTTTATTGTTTCGCATCTGCTAAATTGTAAACAACTTCACATTGATATTCAGGACTTGTTGCTGGTATATTTGTTATGACTCGTTGTGGGCTTCAGAGATATCGAAAGCAGAATGACCAGGTTAGTTTATAGCCTTCTGAATAGTTTCTTTAAGAGATTACCGTAGACGGGTGAAGGAAAACATACAACATTTCCATTATGTAAGAGAGAGGGAGAGAACACAAGTACCATAATTTTATCTAGTTAAAGGCAGTTTCCGAGTACATCTTCTATTTGGTTTGCCTGTTGTGAAGAGGCAAAGAGCTTAGTTATATACATACTGTGGGGAAAACATGGACTTTCACTTTATTTTGTCACACAATGAACTCTCAACTGCTTATATCTTTAGAATTCAGGTTCCTTAAAGTGTGTACCTATGCTTATATAAGAAGATAAGAAAGATGCATGGTGTTAGACACACACACAGATACTAGACAAGGTTCAGGATCGTAGAGTTTTTCCTATGTTTTGTTGCATATATACAACAGAAGTGAAATTTGGTTGTTTGCTTGTTATGAAGAGGAGTTTTCAATCAGTTATTACAAAGACTAATAAACCAAGCTAAGCTATCTATAACATTCCTAACTCTAGAATTATGATAGATGAAATGGCTTGAGGATGTGGTTACAAGGATCACCAAGCTTGTTTTCTTTACTTCAGATAAACACTTTAATTGCGGGTGCTGTAGCTGGGGCTGCTGTCGCTGCAAGGACAAGAAGCTGGACAAAGATGATTGGAATGGCATGCATTGTTTCTGCCTTTAGTGCTGCTGCTGATTTTTCCAGAACAAATTGAATATCCAGTGGTGAAATTCCACGTTGGGGAACAAAGTGATGCTAACTTTCTTACACCAACCATGATCTTTATGGCATCAGCTATATATTTTTTTTCTTTGCCCTGCACTCTCCACGGATGTGTTTTGGGAAATTTCTGAATATCTGATGTTCATTTCAGATTAAGCTTACTCTTTATAACAATGAAATGCTTTTTGTTATTAGTCCTATGTAGGATTTTGTTATATCCTCAAAGCTTCTAAAGTGGTTCACGCGCAGAGTCAGATGCTTGTATTATTTTCCTTTGCACGTGTAGGCGCAAAAATCACGCCCCTGAAATGAATCATTGCCAATGCTAAATGTTTCTATTCAATTTAAAGGTTAACCTACCATTTCCACTGAAGCTTCAAAAGTGGAGATATTGTTTATAGTTGCAATTACTTATCATTCTTTTAGTTATTGGGTTTTATATATGTCAAATTTTCAGTTCAGCTTGCCTGCAATAGTGCGCTTGGACCAAATTTTCAAATATTCCAGAACTTCTCTGCTCTAGCACAAGGCTTTCACTCATAAACTAACTGCTGAAAAAATCTTCCACGACTTTGTCTCTACATGATTAGTCATTTCGCTCTCACTGATCTACTTGGATTTGATCCTTGTCCACGGTTTGATTTGTGGTAAAAGCGATTTTTTGTGGGACATTGCTTGGTTATTTTGGTTTCCAAACCGCTTGATAGTTGGTTCCAGTAATTTTCTGGTTATATTTGTTCCAAACCCAGACGCTACAACCTATCAGTCCGTGGACCATTATCTGGTGTCCAATGGAGGCGCCGGCCCATTCCCTGATTGCCTTTTCATGCGAAGGAGGACCATGAAATCTACACTGCTGTATCAGCTTCAGTCCAACTGAAAGTATAAAACCATACAGGGATAACCAATTCTTCTCTTTCAAAATCCAAGAAGCTTTCTATAAAAACTTTTTGTTTGGTTAGCAAATAAGGTTTTGGTAGGATGGGATCCATAATGTAGCTAGGTAAGCTGTACTTTAATGAGCTGGGATTATAAATCAATGGGGGGTTCATATGTGAGTAAAACTTAAATAGCAAATTTTCCTGTTAGAGCCATGTCTCCTTTTGTAGGGACCACCTTTGGAAACTGAAAAGAGTTGCCACGCCTTAATAGTCGGTGTTGAATTTATAATTACCATTGCTTAATTGATTTCCACACTGCAGCTTCAAGTTTGCTCTATATATAGAATAGGGAAGGGAATTGGCAAGTTTGGTCAATTATCTATCCACTCCAACCAAACCTTGTTAAAACAGGCTTTTTAAAAGAGAATAAAATTAACCCTAGAGAGAGAGAGAGGAGTTGATTTTGGTTTGAATTATGAACATATGATTGCTTGAAGACAACAAACTCTCTTTTATGTGTTTGTTTTAGGAAGTAGAAGGGGTTAATTACATTTTGAAATTATAGACCCCTCACCTGCCTACTTATTCAAGAATCAAGAGAGTTTCCAAAAAAATTTTTTTTTTTTTTAAAAAAAAGATTTTGATAGAGAAGGGGAGGCATTGTTTGTATTGGTTTGAAGCAATAACCAAAATAATATAAAAATAATATATCGTAATAAATTTATAGTAATAAACAATAATTAACAATGTATGAAAAATAAAACATATCAAGATTTACGTAAAAAAACTCTCCAATGTAGAGAAAAAAACTACCAGGAGTGAGTAAAAGTTAGTTTAAACCAATTAGATAAATCAAAACTGAATGAATTTGGTTGAATCGGTTCAATTTATTAAGTTTGGGTTATAATTGTTTTTCAAATCAATTAAATTGGTTAACTCGGTCGATTTTTTATTTTTAAAATTGATAATTGAACTGATCAAATTAATCGACTTTCTAATAAATAAAGATTTAAAAATTGACATAAATAATTTTATTTATTTTTTTCTTGTAAAATATTGTTAAAATTATTAAATTTTTTAGTCATTTAATTTAAATGATACTTGAGTTTGAATTTTATTGAATTGAATTTGTGGTTAAATAATTATTCATAATAGAAAGAAAAATGATAAAAAAATTAGTTATTTAACCAAACCAATATAATTGAATCGATTTTGATCAGTTATTTAAAACTATTCGGTTGGTTTAATTATTTGTTAAATGAAAGTCGATTAAGTCAATTATTGATTTTTTCAAACCAAGCTGACTAAATCGATCAATTGCTCATCTCTAAAAACCATAAACCACCAGAAAATCTCTACTATTAAATAATAGATATACAAAATTTTTTCTAGTTAAAACTAGAGCTAATTAACAACTAAAGAAATAATTGGAGAAATCTCACCAAATATGTAACTCAACAAATACACCATTGATTTGTTCCTAAAGAGCTTTAAACCCAATCTTCACTGTTTAGAATGTAAAACTTTGAATTATAAACCTGCTGATAAAATTTTAGCTCAATCGAATTACAGATCGACTTTTATTCAACTAACTCTTTTTTCTCTTTTCTCTTTATTTTTTCTGGCTTTTCTTTTTTCTCTTGGTTTCAGTGCCACCACATTTTATTTCTCTATTACATAGCCCCCTTTTTATTGTTTAAGGCTTTATATAAGTAGGGTTTCTAAGGTCAAAGACAAAAAAAAAAGTTTTAAGTCTTTTAATTGGCCAAAACCAATAGGACTGGACCCTACTCTTCCTAACAATCTCCTCATCCAACCCTATTAGGATGAGTTTCATCACCATAGCAATTTTATTTTGAATTTACTTTGGCCAAGGAACTCATTCTCGCCAAGTTACTATAGAACTCAAGTTTTTTCTTATGAAGTGTTATAGTTAATATATCTATTACATTATCATAAGTATGGACTTTCTTCAATAGCATTTGCTGTTTCTCAATCACTGAATGTAACCAATGATATCTGTCATAACGTTTAGATCTGAAGATCTATCGCTAGATATTAATTTTAAGGAGTTGCCACCAATCTTTTTTGTTTAGGTGCGATTGACCACCTAAGGAATTTAACCTTTCACAAAAGACCTAAGTTTGACTAAGGGTCCCTAAAAAAATAGATTCGGATCTATTAACAAGACCGGGATTCGGTTATGAGTGAAGAAGGTTATAGCACCCTTACAATGCCCATCGAATGATGGTACCAGTTTGATTTCGTGTTACCCATTAAGCCTAAAATATTTATCAATTAATTAATTATTAAAAATTATTCTTGATTGACTCAATACTTTTGGTAAAAAATTAAGAAAAATCCCATCACCTCAAGAGTATGCAAGAAAACTACTGTTTCACTTACAGAGACTCCATCGTCGGATTATTTAACATTAAAAAAATTACAAAAATAAAATAAAATAAAATAAAAATAAAAAAGAATAATGATTCACCTTTTGATATAAATCTTTTTCTTTTCATTTTAAAAAAAACTTATTGCTTTTGTACAAGAAGAATTGATACTTTCAATTTTTTCTTAAAGTAATTAAAATTTTTTATTTTAAAAATTTTATTTTTAAGAAAAATTGATATTTTTAACTTTTCCCTAAAAATATTTTTAAAACTTTTTATTTTTAGGAAAATTGATACTTTCAACTTTCCCCCCCAAAATGTTTTTGAAAATTTTTATTTTAGAAACTTTATTTTTAAGGAAAATTGATATTTTCAACTTTTTCCTAAAAATATTTTTTAAACTTGAGTTTTTCACTGAAATATTCGTCGAAAAACTTGAATGCAACTGAAAAATTGCTTGGAATCTGGAATTTCCAGAATTTCTAAACAAAAAAAGGTAAAAATTCAAAAAAAATTTTAAAAATTTTAAACTGCCTCTAAACACTATTTTTGCTTCTGTTTTCTCTTTGTGTGCCTTCGATGTCTTTTATGTGTATTTCAGCCTTTATTTATAGGAATTGATTAGAAGAGTTTTTGATTAATCTTAATTTCATTTGGGATTGAGATTTAATTTTTGAATCCAATCCCAACTCTGCCAGTCCCCAAATTCACGGTCAAATCCACTTCCATTATTTTTTTATTATTTTTAATTAATGTGATCATTATCTCCTAATTAATGAAGAAAAAAAAGATAAAATGAAAAAATGATAATAATAATAATAGTAGTAATAATAATAAATAAATAAATAAATGATTATAATAATAAATAAAATAAAAGAAAAAAATAATAAATAAAATAAAATAAAAAATGTGGGCCTATCTTGCCCATTTGGACTAGGCCCAATTGATCTGGGCCTGGACCAAATTAGGTGTCTACAGCTGTCGCTCTTTGCACATTTTCTGTCAAATAGGAATTGTGCAAAAATGTAAAAACTCATTCAAGACTCAATTCGACCTTTTTTTTATATTTTTTTATTTTTTTGCTTTTTTTGTTTTTGGTTAAAATTTTGATCAAAGCTCCTCTAAGTAGAGGCTCAACGACTTTGAAAAATAAATGCTCCTCTAAACAGAGGCACCACAATTTTGAAAATATAAATTGCTCCTCTAAACAAAGATACCAAAACTGTGAAAAAATAAATTGCTCTTTGTCAATCATGACTGAATGAGTCATAGATCATGTCTGATGAAATTTGTAATAGGAACTCAAAGATTCGTAATTTGAGTTCGAAAGTCAAAGGTTTAGATTCGCAAGAATCTTTCAACTTTACAAGAATATATTGAAATTTGATTCTCAAAAATTTAGTTTCACAAGAATTCAAACTTGCAAGATCTTAAGATTCGCATTCGCAAATTATAAGACTTGCATCCACATTTAAAAAGTCTCATTTGAATTTTAGATATTCACATCTAAAAGTTTCAAGCCTCTCATTAAAGTTCAAAGGCTCATATGCAATAAAACTTAGAGTTTCACATCTAAGTTCAAAGGTTCTCACTCAAAAATTTAGATATTCACATCCAAAAGTTAAGTTCAAAGCTTTTCGTTTGAATTTTAAAGATTCACATCCAAAAGTTCAAAGATTCTCATTCTAATTTGAAGATTCACTTTCAACGAACTTTAGGGTTCCACACCTTAAAGATTCTCATTTAAAAATATTTTAAATATTCTCATTTGAAAACGTCTTAAAAATTCTCATTTAAGGCCTAAAGATTCTCATTTGAGGACTTCTTAAAGATTCCCATTTAAGAAATCAGGATTTCATCAAAATATTCAAAAAATTTTTTCAGATGGGCTTTAAAGTTTTACTAAAATCAAAATTTTATGTGTACTGAATGACACGATTAATGATGTAAATACTTTTTTAATGATGCAAATGTAACAATCTAAATTCTAACAATGCCCTATTTTGAGTCATAATTCAAATGCTTGCTGGTTGATGCATGTCCAAACAAAGTTTTAATTCATCGAATTATGCGCATGTACTGTTCAAACAACAATGCAAACATAATGCATGGAATGCAGGCGTCATGAAATTCTAATCAAAATGTGGTAACATAGTTCTCAAGACTCCAT